GTGAGAACCCAACTCTTGAGATATTAAAAATCACAGTCCTGCCCTAACCAGTATGGCTTGGTGGATAGAGTGTTGGCCTGCGGACTCAAGGGTCCCAGATTCGATTCCAGTCAAGGGCATGTACCTTGGTTGCGGGCACATCCCCAGTGGGGAGTGTGCAGGAGGCAGCTGGTCAATGTTTCTCTCTCATCAATGTTTCTAGCTCTCTATCCCTCTCCCTTCCTCTCTGTAAAAAATCAATAAAATATGTTTTGTTTTTTAAAAATAAGTCACAGTCCTTGTTTTATAAACAAAGTCTTTACAGGGCCAGAGGTATGACTTCAGAAACAATTCAAAGTCCACTAAATCTTATCTGGACCATCTTTTAAAATACAAGTTTCTAAAAGGTAATCCTTATTGCAAGGAAAAAAAGAAAACTTAGCCATCTGAGCAGATCAAATTAACTTATTTCAGCTAATAAATCCTAATCACTAGACAGGTCTTAAGTTCACTTACTTTTGGCCTTTTATTACAAAAAAAAAGTTAGAAAATAGAATTGGAGTTATTAATACATGTGTTATACTTTGCTAGGTATGTCTCTCAAAGGTATGAATGTGTTTGCCAGTAAAAGAGCTTACATTTCTAGAAGTCATAAAATGTGCTGAAACTGGTTTGGCCCAGTGGATAGAGCGTCGGTCTGTGGACTGAAAGGTCTCAGGTTCGATTCCAGTCAAGGGCATGTACTTTGGTTGCGGGACACATCCCCAGTAGGGGGTGTGCAAGAGGCAGCTGGTCGATATTTCTAGCTCTCTATACCTCTCCCTTCCTCACTGTAAAAAATAAATAAAAATATATTTAAAAAAAACTGTACAGTAGAAGTCATAAAATGTATTTGCCTACCTAAACAATGCTAGTCACTTGCTTTTAGTTGTTACTAAAAATATTAAATTTTCTAAAAGTTAAGAGTTAAAATTGAGTTAAAAAAAAAACACCCTGTATGGTTGGTAATCGAAGATTTATATAACTTTATATATAATATAAAAATTTATATAAAATATAAAAATGCATTTTTGAAGATAAGAATTGAAATTGAGTTGTTCTAAAGCTGGTTATTTCTGAATGGGTAAAAAGATTTAAAATTTCCCCCCTTCTCCAGGCTTCTTAAAAGTTACCAAACACAAATGAAAAAAAATCTTATTACTTCTCTATAAAATTACTAATTCAAGTTATGTGTATGGTAATATGTGTTCGTCTATGTATTAAGTGTGGTGTGCTATAATGAAATACTTATTGGCCTAAAGAAATTAAATATTTATACAAATTAAGCAAGAGTCTGTGGTCTGGACAAAATATTTAATATTAAAACCAGTTTAAATTTGATTAATATCTTTTAAAGTTATTACCCGGTTAGTTTTACCTAAAATATGTGTTAGTTTTATCCAGGTTTACAAAAAAATTATGTTATGAACTCTTAGTTAAGTTTATTTGACAACCTTCCCAAAGTTTGAATTTTAAAATAGTGTTTTTCATTACAACAAAGGTTGGCACAGATGCTAAATACAGTTTACATTACATTTACACAGATGCTAAATACAGTTTACACTAAGATAGCCCTAGCCAGCTTGGCTCAGTCAATAGAGGGTCAGCCTGTAGATTGAAGGGTCCCAGGTTCAATTCTGTCCAAAGGCTCATGCCTGGGTTGTGGGCTCAAACCTTAGTAGGGGGCGGGCAGGGGGCAGCTGATCAATGGTTCTCTCTCATCCTTGATGTTTCTATCTTGCTCTCCTCCTTCCTTCCTCTCTGAAATCAATAAAGAAATATTTTTTTAAAAAAGAAAAAGAAATAAAATACTATTTTTATCCAAGAAATGAGTTTGAGTTATTTCAATGGGCCCCTGGAATACCTCAAAGATCTGTTCTCTCTCCATATAAAACAAGTTTAAAAAAAAAAATCTAATTAGGCATATTTAATATGCTTAAAATTATATGGGAAACTTTGCCAAGTAAAATAACAATAATAACTATATTCTATTTAAATACATATATGTTTATTAAAATGGATGTCCTAAATTTCCAGCCTCCCTAGGAAGGAACTTGCAAAGATTCAAAGCCAAATTGAAACAAAAGACTCTCAGGGGTAGGAGGTGTCTTGTCAGTGACAGCGGACATCTGGCAGTTAAAAACCCAGGTGTTTGTGATCCACACATTGAAAATGTATGAACTGTGTTCAGTGCTCAATGCACACTTCCAATAAGCCATGTACAACTTTTAAAATCTTGCGTATTATTTGTTCTTTATATATTGAAGTTACATGTTAAATCTAAAAATATGGCTTTTGCATTGTTCTTTTGTATCATTTCATAATAATTAATACTTATCAAGAAATAATCTTGGGAAGTTAGTATCTTACCAAAAAAAGCAAAGTTTTTTTTTTAAATCAATTACATTATAATCAAATTTACATCAATGTCAGTTTAAGTTTGTCACTTTCAGACAGTCATTGTTTTACTCTAGTGTATTTGCAAATGTGCTAGTTCTGTCTTTGGAAAGGTTCATAAAAGAAACTCTGAATCACTCTAAATTACAGATTTCTAAGCAAATAATAACTTAAAACTAGATAAAGACTTCTAAAACTCTAAGAAACAACTAAATTCATGGAAATGCTGGTGAATAATCAGGATAAACAAAAATTGATAATATGGAACTAAATGAACTGAAAATAATTAGCATTCTTATAACTTTGTTCAAGATATTGCTGATTTTAAGATCTTTCTCCCCCTCCAGATACAAGGAAACTTGTTTTTTTTAAAGAGCACTTTGATAAATTATATCATCATAAACAATATTATAACATTTATATTTTTCTCCCTACATATACATAATCTCCCCCCAGAATTTAGCAATTCTTAGTGAGTGAATGTTATTATTTTTATGGCAATATGTTTCTTTGCATGAAGTCAATAAGACCCGTTTCCAATTCTGGTTTTATTAACCAAGGCTTGGACTGGAGTGTCATGTCTGAGAGAGGCATGCCTGGACTCTGAAAGCCTTAAGAAATGAAGACTGACTTTAAAGCTAAAAAACGGGTTGGACAAATGGCCTGGTATCTTGCTTGGTCAGTGGTTCATGGCGGTCTTTCCTGTTAAGGAACGAAGGTTGCTTTCCTAAAAGATGGCAAGAAAAAAACCTCCAGACATTTTGGAGACCTCAGGAACATGAGGAATGCACCCGAACGTATAGGTATTGCAGGAAAGGCCCAGTGGCTTCTGTCTAAAGTTCAATCTAAAAATTCCTTATAAAATCCCAGCAAAGCAAATTTATTTTTTTCCATTTTTTAATTAAGGTATTATATGTGTACATACCTTACCACCCCCCCACTCCCATACATGCCCCCCATCCCCAGAGTTTTTCATCCATTGGTTATGCTTATATGCATGTATACAAGTCCTTCGGTTGATCTCTTATCTCCCCCAGATCTCCCTCCCCTCCCCACTTGAGATATACTCCTAGGAGTGTGAATTTTAACTATATTTACTTAAATATATTCTATATAATAAAGGCTAATGTGCAAATTGACCAAACGACCAGTCGCTCTGACATGCACTGACCACCAGGGGGTAGATGCTTAATGCAGGAACTGCCCCCTGGTGGTCAGTGCGCTCCCACAATGGGAGGGCTGCTCAGCCAGAGCCGGGCTCACAGCTAGTGAGCGCAGAGGCAGTGGCAGGAGCCTCTCACACCTCCTCAGCAGCCCCTCCTGCCTTCGCAGCAGCACTTAGGATGTCCTACTGCCCTTTGGGGATCGGGCCTCAGCCGTCAGTCAGACATCCCCTGAGGGCTCCCGGACTGTGAGAGGGCTGGGCTGAGGGACCTTCCCCCACAAGTGCATGAATTTTGTGCAGGGAGCCTCTAGTAACTTATATAATTTATTATATTAATTACAGTAAACTTATTAAAATTCAAATATCTGCCTGATATTCAAATACTCACCTGATATTTAAATTTGATAATAATGCAGATTATATTTGACATGCCAGCTGGGGCAGTGGGGTGAGTATGGAAGCTAGAGCTGAGAGGTCATGCATTCACTCAGCAAACCTCACTGAGCACTGGGGGGGGCGGGAACCTAATAGAGAAATGTGAAAAGGGAATAGAAAAGGCTGGTCAACCTTAATTGCTCTGAATGGTTGGAGCTAATTGCTCACTGTTTAGTGGAGACATTGGTAGTTAAAGCAACCTCCACCTGTAAATCATATGTAAATTCTTGCTGATTATCTATTATTGGAATTTCCTGCCTAAAGGATAGGGGTGTATCTCATAACCTTGATCAAAGGGATAGCAGAGCCGGAGCAGTGGTAGTCCTCCCCCTAGAGGTGGACTCCTGCCTGGCCCCCCCATTTTCCCAAATTAATTCTTTTCGAGTCTCTCTTCATTTTGCGTGCGGCCTTCTCCAGAACTTGAACCCTGAACAGGAACCCTGAACCACGCGGGACGTGGAGGGGGCTCCCACAGAGCACCTGCTCTGTGCCAGATGCGGAGGGTGCAGAAATGAAGCAGACACAGGGCCTGCTCCAAGGAGCTCTGTTTTAGCGGAAACTCACAACAGTAATACTATTTATAACCGTTCCGTTTCACCGAGCACCGGCTAGGTGCCAGGCACGGCGCTGAGCCCCTCGGCCTGCCTCATCTCATGGAGTTACCAACATCACCAAATGAAGCAGGTTTATCATTGTCCTGCCTTACAGAGGATTAAGCTGAGGCCTGAGGAGGTCGGGTGGCACAGGCAGTCAGAGGGGACACCCAGCTTTGAACCCACTTCTGTCTGACTTGAAGCTCAGGCTCCTGGACCCAACACTGTGCTCTCTCCCCATGCCTACGTTCCATCACTTGTTCACCCAGTGTTATTGAGTCAGAGCGAGTGCCAGACGCTGCTCAGCCAACAAAAGCTCCTGGAATCTGAGGGGAAATCAGACCCAAATCCCTGACCTCAGATGAGCTCACCCCAGGAGAGATGAAGGGAGTGGGGGCGGGGGGCGGGCAGACTTCCTTGAAAACACCAGTATTTGGGGGCCCACAGAGACGGGAGCTGAGTGGCAGGGACACTGATGACAGGGCGGCCCCTCAGAAGCCAGAGGGAGAGTTTGGAGAGGAGGAGACGGTCAGCGGGATGGCGTGCCTGAGAGCCTGAGGCGGTGAAGTCCAGGCTTGGGCAACACCAGGCTTTGGGGGACCCCTGAGAGCCAGCTGGGGGACACAGCTGGAGCCAGGCAGCTGAGGGTTCGGAAGGGAGAAGGCGATGAGCAAGTGGAGGCTTCTCTGCCCAGAAACTGGGCGTTTGGAGGAAACAGAAACTGGAGAGAGGTCAGCGGAGGTAAGGGCTGTTTTCCCTTTTCTGGCTTCCTCCCGTCTGGGCAGGGTGGCCGCTCCTGTGTGCCTGCAGGCCGAGGGGGGAGGGGTGGGGGGGAGGGAAGAGAAACAAACACACAGAAGGAGGAGTTTCCCCGCAGCAGCGGCTGCTCAGGGACACGCTGTGTATTTATTTACGTGACGGATGCCTCTCCCCATGTCCCCAGCCAGAGAGGCGCTCTTGTTCACGGTGGTCCCCAGCAGAGCCTGGCACGGGCAGACTCCCCGTGGGCACTCTCTGAATTAAACTGAATTCACAGGGTTCCTGACGGGGGGGGGGGGGGGGGGCCCCGGAAGAAACGGGGTCATGCGGGCCCAAAGGAGGGGCTTTGGGGACAGGAGGGCGGGCACACCCACGTCTTCTCAGTGTGTGCATGTGGGGGTCAGGATGGGGAGCACGGATCAAAAGAAGTGGGGGATGGGGGATGATGACAGCTATCCATGTCCTTGTGAGAACACTGCTATGTATTAGTGCACGTTTTGGCCACTTCTCTGTCACAAATGCATTAAATCATATAATCCTAATCCCAATCACTCTCAGGCAAGAGAAGTTCAATCCGCCCTGAGGTGAGGTAGCTGAGGGGGAAGCTGGGATTTGAACCCAGGACTTGGAGCTTCAAGGTGACCCCAAGAGAGCCTGTGGTGTGAATCCCTGAGTGGCACACCTCCCCACCCGGCCTTACTTCTCTGAGGGCATCATTGTCACAGGTCCCGGGACAGACAGACAGGTGTGGGACTGGCCCGGGTCGCACAGCTGCTGAGCCGGGGCACTCCAGCTTGCATGTCTCCCACTGCAAGGCGGTGGTTTCTCCTTCTCAGAGGGAAGAAATGTGGCGATTCGGTAGAGAGTAGGGTGCAAAAGAGAGGTGCCAGCCGTGCCTGGCAAACATTTCACTGCGACTCCGGAGCGGGCTCTCACAGGCTCCCGAACAGGACAGAGAGCTGGGGTTGGCAGGTGGGGGGCAGAGTCGGAGGGGGTGCCCCCGGCTGCCTGGCTGTCCCTGGGGTGAGGCCCAGAGAGCCTGAATGAAACTCGAGCAGGAGCGTGGGCTGGCGGCCTCCACAGAGACCTGGCGTGGCCCGGGGGGAGGGGGGCGGCAGTCCCAGAGGGGGATTCCAGATCCCCGGGCCCTGATGGCGGAGGGACCTGGACCGTGGGTGGCCCCAGCTAGACGGAACTCAATGTCCCTCCTGCAAGCCGCCCAGGCCCCTGACCAGCTTCCGGAAAGAGCTGCTTCTGAACCCGGGGAGGAAAAGTCCCCAGGGTCTTGGGGGAGACGTAGGCTTCCTCCCAGAGCTGGCAGGGGGGCAGGCAGGAGGGCAGGCCCTTAAAACCAGGCAGGCCCAACCCCGGCCTCTCCTCCAGGCCTGGCCCGAGGACAGAGAGAAGTCTCACCGGTGAGGAGGTGAGTCTCCTTCTGGGGTGCCTTCCCTGCGGGTGGAGGCAGCGGGCACGGAGAGGGGCTGGGAGAGGGACTGGCCCTCCATTGCTTCCCCCTCCAACGGCAAGGAGGTCTCAGGTACACCCCCCACCCCCCGACAGTGGGGCGGGTGCTGCCGTCCTTTCCTGGGGAAGACACACGGATGGGGTCCTGGGAGCTCGGGGTGGGGTTGGGGGGAGGGGGCTGCTGCATGTGGACTGGAGGGCCCGTCTGGGCAGTGGCCGGCCCCGCCCCGCCCCCACGCTGCCATGCTGTCAGGCTGCCCGTCTCCATGCTCTCCACCTCTCATTACCGCAGCCGCCGCTGCACTCCAGCATTCCTCCCGGCTCACTCCTTCCCTGCTGTGTGGTCACTCCGTAAAAATAGTCACCCACATCCTCCTCCTGCGGCTGCATTGAGGTCCATCTTCCCCGCCTACCCACCCCAGGCGGCTGGTCAGTGCCTCTGCCACCTTCTCGGTGCAGCTTGGCCTGGTTCAGGCCCCTTTGTCCCGGGCCTCGCGCTCACACCGGTAGAGGTCAAAAGAGTTCTAAAATGTGCTGGGAGGCACTGCATTTAGATCAGGACACGCACCACTTAAAAGATGGCTTGTTATTCAGTTACCAAGAGAAGGGAACACGCCACTGCATGCAGGGCCACTGGGGAGGCACCGGGTCGACCACGAGGCAAGATGAGCGAAAGCATTTGTGTGTGTGTGTGTGTGTGTGTGTGTGTGGTTTTTTTGTTGTTTTGTTTTTGTTTTTTTATAAGAAAGGGCAATTTAGGATGACTATCCATAATAATAAAAGCATAATATGTTAATTAGACTGGATGTCCTTCCTGATGAAGCCGAGGCTGCAAGGGAAGCCCAGGTCCTGGGTGCCAGCGGGAAGCCAGAGCAGGCAGCGGGGGAGGGAAGGCCTCCTCTTGCATGAATTTCGTGCATCGGGCCTCTGGTCTTGAATAATTTTAAGGGACTCCCAACAGTCCCTCCTGGCCCTCAGGTGACTCAGGGCAGAGGAAATAGCAGCTGGGAGCAGGAGTGTTAAATAAAGGGGGTTGGGCAAGGAGGATTTAGGATTGCATGGCTTGAGTGAAAGGTGGGCAGCCTCTGACTCTCTCTAGGAATTAGCTAGTCCTGGGGGGGATGTCTCTTCCCAGCCCAGCAAGTCCCCCTAGATGTCAAAATATCGTAAGGTGGAGGAAGGGAACAAGTGGCTCCCTCCCAGGGGCTGCTCGGGGGCAGCGGGGCCAAGTAGAGGAGTTGCATCCCATTCCTGAGCTGAATCCTTGGGCAACTCACTTCCCCTCCTTGAGCCTGGGTTTCCTTGTCTGTAAAAACCAACAACTGGCACTCTCTCTTCAACAAATGGCTGTTGGAGGGACAGACACCGTGCCGGCAGGTCTAACAGTTGTCACCTGCCAGGGCCATTGGCGGGTTGAGACAGTGGACAGAGCCTGGCACATTGTAGGTGCCCAGGGCATGATAGGTGCCCCCTTCCTCCGGTCACAGCTCCAGGAAGCAGCGGAGAAAGATTGCCGTGGAAGGATAGGGTCTAGGGCCATGGCCTTGGCTATGTAGAGCCCTCAAGGCAGAGGCAATGGGTGGACAGAACTGTCAGGAATGTTCTTGAAACTCAGAGGAGCTGCTGGACAAAGGATGGCAGGGAGCGGGCATCCCAGTAGCCAGGAGCCCTAGGAGTTGGAAGTGGCATTTTGGAGCCAGGCCTTGGGAGGGGACAGGGCATGGGGCACAGCACTGGCCGGAAAGACCACTGAACTCAGGACTCAGGGACAGCAGGGCACTGAAGGGGAAATCATGGCAGACTACTGGCCAGCTGGGGAGCTGGGGATGAACAAGGGTTTGGGATCCACAGAAGGAGGGAATGCAAGCAGCTGTCAGTCAAGGGCCTTCTGAGGCGCCCAGTTAGAATCAGACATGGGCGTAAGACACATGGAATTTCCTCTGCCTTCTGGGTGTAAGCTCTTTGGACTCCAGACCAGGGACTCCTGTATCTGGGGGGAGGGAAGCTGGGTCCTCTGGGTTCCATGGCTCAAAGGAGAGAACCTCCCTCTGGGGAGGGGGGGCTGTGCAGTACATTGAGGGGCACACTAGTGTACTCCCGTGCTTCCCAAGTGGCCCGGCATTCTGTGGCGTGCTCCTCTTCATCTTAGCCTATGCTTCTCCATTGGCAAAAGGCTGACAATGATACCTACCCTTCGGAGCTCTCCTGAGCGCCCAGGGTCAACTTATGGTAGGCCCAGGGCCTGGGCCCAAGATAATGTTTCAATGATAAATTATTTTGATATTGATGAAAAATGAAGAATAATAATAATGAATCTAGCATGGATTGTGTTTATTTTCATAGCAACTTGGCTGTAAAATAAATTTTTAAAAAGCACTTTTTTTTTTTCTTTTCTTTTTTTGAGGAAGGGAACTATGAAGACAAAAGTGCTTGGGACACACAAAAGCCCCGAGGAGGCCTGAGAGCCACGTCCCATAGGGTGCTCTTGCTTCATTCCCGAGGCCCTGCTTCAGGCTGGGCGCTGTCCGCAGCGCTGGGAGAGGGGTGAGCCCTCCCAGCTTCTGTCCTCAAATCACCAGCGCAGAGACATCTTTGAACAGATCCTCAAGCCCCAGATAAAAGGACGACAGGACTTCACGCCATCCGTGTCCCATGCCCTCCTGGCCCTGCACCAATCTCCTTGCTGGGGGATGCTTTCCTCCTGCAAGACCCTGACATCCTTCATCAGGGCCCTGTCTGGATGTGCCAATTCCTGCCCCTAACTTGTGCCATCTAATCTCCATCCATTTAAGAATCCCACCTCTTCCTCTGGTTACTGTTAGCCATTTTCTGCAGAAGGGACAATTGAGCCGGGGGCATCTGTGGTGGACAGTTCTCTCTCGTCTCTGTTGGGGACAATATGCCCCTCTGCACCCAGGGACCCCTTAGATCAACTCCTTGAGGTGTTTGCCTCATCTTTTCTCACTAGGGCTGCCTGTTTATTGACCAGCGCGAGAGGGTAGGGCTTGGTGGGAAGCCAGGGGCAGGGTTTGAATGGGCTGTGGGGACATCTCCTGATAAGCATGTCATGGGATGTTTTCTTTTCTAGAACTTCAGATATGAAGGGGATCCTCATGCTGGCTTGGCTCATGGCTTGCAGTAAGTGCTGGGCCCCTGACCTTTGAACTTGTGACCTTCTACCCTCCAGGAACAACAGGTAGTGGCAAGGAGACTCGTCTTTGAGGCTGTAGAGATTTAGCTCTGCATGGACTGTTTAGATGTGAGCAGAAGTCTTTGCCTCTCCCAGACTCTGTTTTCTCAGTCATGACAGCAGGTCTGGGGCAGGATCTAGCCGGTAATGAGTAAGAGCTGTGCTCTAGGGAGACCACGTGGTTTGTAAATGCAGGAGGCAGATTTTTTATTTTTTATTTTTACTTTTTTGGTTTGTTTGATGCAAAACAAAACAAAATAAAATGGGGGATAAAACACAGCAAAAGAAGAAACAAGCACCACCCACCCCAGGCCTCAGGCCTGTGCAGGTTTTGTGTGCAGCCCACCTGCTGCCACCTCCCAGTGTGCTGTGTGACCACTGCACAGCATGGGGGTCAGTCTCTGTCCTGAGGCTGTCCTGCAGCCCCTGACAGGCTGCCCTGCTCTTTGATGTCTCTGAATCCCTGGAGACTGCAGGAGGAGTGTGAGGCCTCGAGCCTCTGGCTCACTGTGTACCCCTGCACAGCCACCGTTTCCCTCTAGGCCTCAGTTTCCCAATCTTCACAATGAGGGAGCTGGCTTCAGTGAGCTCCAAGGGTCCCACCCTGCTTGAAGATTCTTATGTTCTAAACTAGAGGCCCGGTGCATGAAATTTGTGTGCTCAGGAAGGGTGCGGGGGCATCTCTCAGCCTGGATTGTGAGAGGGCACAGGCCAGGCCAAAGGACCCCACTGGTATACTATTGGGGCCAAGGAGGGATGCAGGGGGTTGGCCATCTAGAGAGGGACTATGAGAGGGCCCAAGGTGTGTCCAGCTTGTCTCATTCAATCCTGATCAGCTGGACCCTAGCAGCAAGCTGACCTACTGTTTGGACTTTCTGCCCCCCTGGTAGTCAGTGCACATCATAGCAAGCAGTTGAGTGGCCTTAGCATATCATTAGTATATTACACTTGGATTGGTTGAATGGCTGACCGGCCGACTGGACACTTAGCATATTAAGCTTTTATTATATAGGATGGTGTTAGTGGGAGGATAAAGGTGTGTATTGTTAGGCAATAAAGGAAGAGCCCATTAACCAGCTTCATACAGACAACTGTATTACTTATACCTATTATTTCTTGGCCACTTAGTATGTAGCTGCCATTGTGCTCAAAATTTATGTCCTTTACCTTAGTTCAACCCTCATGACAACTCCAGGAGGCAGGCATTCATTTTAGGAAAAAGGAACTCGAGGTCCAAGAGGTACGTGCCCTCTGCAACATCTCCTGTGAGTCAGCAGCAGGGTTGTGTTCTGGACCCAGGCTTGCTCCTTCTCCAAGTCCAACCATGTAACCACTTCTCTATGCTGCTTGCCCTTGCCTCCTTGTCCTTCTCTCACTGATGGAGAGGAGGAAAAAGAGACACCTGGGCCTCTCTCAGCCCTGGGGTGGGAGGAAGGCAGGAGCATGCTGGGAAAGCTGGGCTGTCTTTCAGGTGTGCCCGCTGTGTCAGGCGGCTTGCTAGAACTGAAGTCCATGATTGAGAAGGTGACGGGGAAGAATGCCCTGACGAACTATGGCTTCTACGGCTGCTACTGTGGCTGGGGCGGTCGAGGGACTCCCAAGGATATTACTGACTGGTGAGCTGATGATCATGACTGCCCTTCACGCTCCAGGCTCTGCACCCCCATTACCTCCTCTCATTTCATGTCCTTTCTGGAATCGAAGCACCGTTTCATAGATAAGAAAACTGAGTGTCAGAGAGGTTAACTGACTTGCCCATGCTAATGTCTAATAACTCTCCAAATCTCAGTGGCCTAATGTATCAGATGGTCTATTGCTACGTAACAACCATCCTAAAATGTAGTGGCTTAAAGCAATGATGGCCCTTGATTTGTTAAGGATCTGCCATTTGGGCAGGGCTTGGTGGGGTGGCTTGTCTCTGTGCCACCCAGCTTCAGCTTGGGCACCTTGACTGAGGCTGGATGAGTCATTATCCAGATGGTGCACTCCGATAGCGGGCACGTGGTCGCTGGCAGCTGGCTGGCAGCTCAGTTGGGGCTGGGGTTGGGGGCCCTCGGTTCCTCTCACCCAGGCCTGGCCCAGATTGTTTGGACGTCCTCACAGCACCGTGACGCTTGGGTTCTAAGAGTGAGGGGCCCAAGACTGCAAGACGCAAGAGTATAGCATTTTTATGACTAAGCCTCAGGAATTTCATGCTGGTCCTTCTTTTTGGCTGAGGCAATCATAATAGCTTTAAGAGGGAGGGCACCCAGTTTCCACATCTTGATTGGGAAGTGTAGAAGTTCCAGAACAGGGGGGGATGAGAGAGATTGCTCTTTGGAAAATGCCACCTGCTGGGTTAACAATTCTGAGGCTGCTAGACATATATGAGGGAGTGAGGCAATTCAGGGAATGGATGGCAGATGGTTGGAGCCGAGATCCTCACTGCTAGAGGAGGAGTTTGCAGACAAGCAAGGACAGGAAGCTAGAATGACCTACGTGGTGGTGGATTACAGTTGGAGACATCAATATGAGCTCCAGTTTAGCTTAATACAGATGCAGATGGTTACATATAGAAATATGTACACATGTGTATATAGATGGGGTTAATATAGATACACACACACACACACACACACACACACACACACATATATATATATATATATATATATATATATATATATATATATATAAAATCAGCTGAGAGGACCTACAAGAAACAACCTCTCAGTAGCAATAAGCAACTCCTAGTGTCCAGATCTGGTTTCTATTATCATTCTCCCAGGAACCAAGGCTCCATAGAGAAATGGCTGATGCTAAGGACTAGTGCAGGAAATATATAGGATGATCTGTATATATATTTTATTTTTATTAATATATTTTATTAATATATTTTTATTGATTTTTTTTTTTTAACAGAGAGGAAGGGAGAGGGATGAGAGTTAGAAACATAGATCAGCTTCCTCCTGCACACCCCCTACTAGGGATGTGCCTGCAACCAAGGTACATGCCCCCGACTAGAATCGAACCTGGGACCCTTCAGTCCACAGGCTGACACTCTATCACTGAATCAAACAGGTTTCGGCATCCTGGAGCTTTTTATACTATAAATCAGAAAGTAAAGAAGTGCTCAAATAAAACAAACCCCACCCCAAACAAATGCCGAAGAGCACAGAACCAACCCAACGAGCTCCCAATGGCCAAAGCTGGGACCATTTGAGCAAAAAAAAGAAACATATAATATGAGACAAATGTCAGAAAAATCCCAATAGTAGGGCATTCTGCAAAATACTTGACCAGTACTCCTCAAAACTGTCAAGGTCATCGAAAACAAGGAAAGAGTGAGAAAATCCCCATGGTCAAGAGGAGTCTAAAGAGACTTGACAACTCAATGTCATGTGGGGTCCCAGAGGGGATCCTGGAACATAGAAAGGACCTTACATAAAAACTAAGGAGATCTGAAAAAGCCATGAACATTTTACAATTAATGAATCAATAATTATATATTACTAGAGGCTCAGTGCACAAAATGCATGCACTGGTAGGGTCCCTAGTAGCGGACAGCTGCCGGCCACGGACACCCTCCCCTTGGCTCGCCCTGACCCCTGATTGAACTCTAAGACAACTCATGGTGGAGGGGACAATTTGCATACTATGCCTTTATTATATAAGCTTATTTAGTAATTAATTAATATTGTTTTGTTATTTCTAACACATCATATTTTTAAAATTAAATTAATTTTTAAAATTTAATTGTTTAAGGTATTACAAATAGTAGTATATAATAATATTAATAATATAATAATAATATGTCTTTCTTTTTCCCCCCCACTGACCTCCTCCCCCTGGCCTCTCTTCCTCCGCCCACACCCCCCCCCCCACTTGCCCTCGTCACCCTGTCCCCAGTGTCTTGCATCTGTTGTTTATGCTTATATGCATGCATACAATTCCTTCCGGTTGATCTCTTACCCCCCTCAACACTCCCCTACCTTCCCGCTGTAGTTTGACAGTCTGTTCAATGCTTCTTTGCCTCTGTCTATTTTTGTCCAACACACATGTATAATATTAATATAAGATGTTACTAATAGAAGAAACTGAATGTGGGGTAAATGGGAATACTATGTACACTGTTCTCAACGTTTCTGTAAGTAAAAAAATTAATGCAATCTGTTACACCTAGCATAGTGGACATTTTTTTTTTTTAAAAATCTTATAACAGTTCAATCAAACATGTTGATTTTGGGACCCAGGTCCCTTCCATCTTATGGCTCTTCTATCTCCGATGGCCTCAGAGTCCTAGGCTGGATCACCTTCATTCAGCTGAGGTGGAGCAAGATAGAGTAGAGGATAACATGTGAGGTTTTTATGGGTAGGTCTGAAAGCAGTGTACATCACTTCTGCTCACATTCCTCTGGCTGGAAGCTAGTCATGTGACTACTTGCATCTGCAAGGGAGATTGGGAAATGTAGTCTCACCATGAGCTAAGGAGAAAAAAACAGGTCAGTGAGCTGTTAGCCAATGGCAGGCGCCCTAGAGGAAGGGCATATTCTTATTAAATTCAATCTCTGCCAGACCACACCCACCGATGTGGCCTCTGCTTAAATGGCATGCCCCTTCCTCTCAGGATGGAAGTGTGTTGCATTGACAGGTGCTGTTGGATACATGACCGCTGTTATGGGCTGCTGGAGGAGAAAGGCTGTTACATCCGGACACAGTACTACCAATACAGTGTCTCACGGGGCCTGGTCACCTGTGGTAAGGCTGGGGCTTCCCATTCAGGCCACTGGAAGAGCCTGGGTCTCTGCTGGCTCTGAGTTCAGCTGCCCCTAGAGGTCAGCCAGGCTATATCTTGGGGGGCAGAGGGAGGGGAGAGAGCTGGGGGTAAGAGGAGCAATAATATTGCAGCTTTATCTGTTGTCCTAGATTGAGTATTCAATAGGTGCCAAACGTTTGCCTCCTTCCTTTTTTACTAGCTCCCCGAAAATACCCTGTGAGTAGGTTCAGTCTCCCCATTTTTCAGATGAGGAAAGGGAAACATAAAGGCTTGCCAGTATACACAGCTAGAGTTGGGATTCAAGTTCAGGTCCATCCGAGTTCAAAGTTAAGTCTGAATGTGGTGTCTCTGTGAAAAGTGGGGTTCCTCCAGGACAGGAGCTGTCTCCGCCATCAGACTGAGGGAACGTGTGTCCTTGCTGAGACTGGAGCTCCTGGGCAGGCGTTGTGTCCCTGAGGCTGAAGCCTCTCCCCGGACAGCTGGGCCTTTCCCATCAGAGGATGTATTCCCCTGGTATAGATGCTGTGCCCCCCCTCATCAGACTGCGTGCTCCCTCAGAGCAGGAAGCAGACAGAGCATCTGCTCAGTCTAGAAGCAAGTCCTGACTGAAGCAAGCCTGGGAGTCTGTGTCCGTACAGGGAATGGTCCTCATTCTGTCTTTGGTGTCCTGTTTGCAGAAACGGGGGCCCCCTGCCAGATGAAGCTCTGCTCCTGTGACCGGAAGCTCGTCTACTGCCTGAAGAGAAACCTAAAGAGCTACAACCCTAGTTACCAATACTATCCCAACATCTTCTGCACCTAGCGGCCCTCCGTGAGCGCCTCCAGACCAGGACTTTGCCCCCTTCCCCTGCCACACGGGACTCACCGGTTCTGCCGGGCTCCTGAGAGGGCTGCCAGGTCTTGCTCCTGGTTCTTTCCTGATGGTCCACTGGGCTTGGAGGAGCCCCAGAGCCGCTCCTCACCCTCCAGAGAATCCCCAGAGAGTGACTGGTCATAGGACTTGACAAGGTCAAGGTCCCTGGCTCACTCCGAACGCCAGGCCCGTCGTCCTCGCCTCTGAAGATAGTGCCCCGTCTCCAGGAAGAAGACTCTCCTGGGATGCACTTCCTCTCCGGTTCCTGCCACCCTCTAGAGAACCTTACTCAACGAGAAGCTAAATTGACTCCATAAACCTGCCACGTGTTCATTAAGTAGCGCTTCTCCTGACGACTAACAAAAGCCTCGCAGGCATGTCCCTCTGCTGCGGGAGGGCCTCTGCCTCTCTCCCTGCCGCTGGGGCACTAAACGCAGAGTTTGCTGCATTCTCTCAGAAACAGAAGGTGCAGATCAGGAACTAGTAGAAGGTTTTCTGAGATGAGTGTCAAGCCTTCTTTGGGGCTCATCTTCTCAAATCTTGGGGGGTCCCCTGGAGCCAAGCATTGGGTCTCATTTTTCCTTGAGGGGGTGGAGAGAAGGTGATTGACAGTTACACCAGCCTGGGCTTCCAGGCCGGAGAGGGCCATGTTCAAGTCCCAGCTACATGGATGCAAGAGAGAAACATCAATAGGCTGCCTCTTGCCCTACCCGGTTTGGTTCAGTGGATAGAGCGTTGGCCTGCGGACTGAAGGGTCCCAGGATCGATTTCGGTCAAGGGCATGTACCTTGGTTGTGGGCACATCCCCAGTAGGAGGTGTGCAGGAGGCAGCTGATCGATGTTTCTCTCTCATCAATGTTTCTGACTCTCTATCCCGCTCCCTTCCTCTCTGTAAAAAAATCAATAAAATATATATATATTTAAAAATAGGCTGCCTCCTGCACACACCCCAACTGGGCATGTGCCCCAACCAGAATCGAACTGGCCACCTTTTGGTGCACAGACTGATGTTCAACCACTGAGCCACACTGGCCAGGCTCTGATACTGTCTTTAAAAAAAAAAGAAAAAGAAAAGAAACCGTAATGTTTGTTGCGATGTAAATTGGAAAGCTTAGAAGCCACCTTAGTGCTGACGCAGAGATGCTGAGATTCTGGGATTTCACAGAAAGAACATTTTCTTACATAGAGTTCAGCTATGGGGTTTATTTTTACCAAGTAAGAAGCCCAACTGATCTATTATCTGTAAATGAATACCGAGGCAGCAGGAAGAGAGGACATATTTTAAAACAAAGGGGAGTCCCGCTGAAGAAAGACCTTTGGCTTCTTTCCACCCACAGACCCCCAAATAGCCACATGATAAATGGGATCGATATTTAAAAAGCGCCAATGTTCAACATTTTCAAAATAAAATTTGATTTTTTGATTGCCCTAAATGTGCTGGTGTTTCAGAAAAGTGTGATATGGTCTCATGCCTATATTTGACAACATCATACAGAAAATGGGGCTCACGTGTCCAATTTGCTCATAATTTTTTTTTGTTTTTGCATCAAAGCCACTTCCTGACTCCATTTTTAAACAGGGATGGGGGAAAATGGGGAGCTTCGCTCTTGATGCCATTTCTCTTCAATCGCAGTATTCTGGATGATGAAGGAGAGACTCAGCCCAGGCTCCTCCCTCCCCTCAGGGCCAGGGGCAGGCAAGGTGCTGTCCTGCTGGTAAGTTCTGCAGGAAGGGGCTGTAAACAGGCCCTTCTCCCTGGGGCATCCCAGCTCAGACTTGCAGGATTCAGACACGTGCCCACAGGCATCTGTGGGCCAGGGATGCTGTGAGGTTTTGAAAGCAACATTACAAGCTGACGTGGGTTTGAGATGGCAGGGTCCATGGAGAACCTTCTTTTACCTACCAGGACACTGAGGCTCAGAGAGGTTAGGAGACTTTCCCGAAGTCACACAGCACATCAGCAACAGATGCTGGTCCTAAACCACTGTCTTCAACTCCAGCCCACACAGGAGGGAAACGGAACCCGGAGTGGTTCAGGGACTCAGCCACATTGGGGCTTCTCAGGAGCACCCCTGAATTCCACCCGAGAACCAGCTCCCTTCCTTCTCTGTTCTCACTGCCTCCTGGGAGTCTGTCTTGGGCTGGTGAGTCTGGCTGGGGCTCTGGGCTTCATCTTCAGGGGAGGGGACCCCACTGAGGACCTCCAGGCCCACTGCCCTGGACCCGCCCTCAGGGCTGTGAACAGCTCTGGCGGAAATGAAGAAAGCCACGTGATGGCTGAAACTGGGGAAGAGGCGGTCTCCTTGGCTGTTGTATCGGACTCTGTCTTAGCTGGCCAGAGAGACAGCAGGAAGATCATCTCTCTCAAAGCGGCATAGCCCTCTTTTTAACGGAGATGCTGAGATGTACAGGTTGGACCACACATGCCTCCCTGGGTTGGGCTTTATGTAAAGGTAATTAGACAACACAGACACAGACATTCAGCAGCAGGCTGCCTCGGAAATACAGGTCATTGACTGGCGTTTGGAACTGATCCTGCCAGGTGGCCTCCTTAGCTTCTCTTGTTGGAGACCTGGATGTGGTGAGAGGCTGAGGGGGAGGGGGGGCCCAGGTTGCCCTCAGGGGTTCCACAGTTCAGTTGGCCCTGCCACGTAGGCTGTAAGACCTCAGGCAGCAGCACCAGCACAAAAAGAAATAGCCTCGCCTGTTTGGTGTGGCTCAGCGGTTGAGCATCGACCTATGAACCAGGAGGTCACTGTTCGATTCCCAGTCAGGACACATGCCCGGGTTGCAGGCTCGATTCCCTGTGAGGGGTGTGAAGGAGGCAGCCAATCACTGATTCTCTCTCATCATTGATGTTTCTCTCTCTTTCCCTCCCTCTCCCTTCCTTTCTGAAATCAATTTAAAAAATATTTTTAAAAAAGAAAGAAAGAGCTTAAACTGGTTTGGCTCAGTGGATAGAACATCAGCCTGTGTAGACTGAAAGGTCCCAGGTTCAATTCCGGTCAAGGGCATGTCCCTTGGTTGCAGGCACATCCCCAGTAGGAGGTGTGCAGGAGGCAGCTGATCGATGTTTCTCTCATCATAGATGTTTCTAATTCTCTATCTCTCTCCCTTCCTCTCTGTAAAAAATCAATAAAATATATTTTTTAAAAATCAATAAGATATATTTAAAAAGAAAGCAAGAAAGCAAGCAAGCAAGAAAGAAAGCTCCTCACGTAGACTCTTTTACTGGCTCCCACAGTCCTGGAAAGTAAAATCACTGTAATAAAAAATCCCTTATTTTATACATTGGCATTCCCTAGTAGTTCTGCTGCTCCAACCACACCATGGTTGGCACAACAGGCTCCCCAGTGCCCAACAGCATGCTTGCCACATAGCAGGTGCTCAACACATGTTCGTTGAGTGACTGAGTGATTGAATGAACAAATGAATAGTCTCTGCCCATAAAGACTTCACAGACCCACCTGGGAACAGGAACTGAGGGGCTGAGCAGGAAATACAGGGGTCATGGTATTTTGACTTTTCTGGTGGGGCAGTCTGGACAAGCGCTGGGCTCACCATTTGGCTTCCCAGTCTTGGATGTCTCCCTGGTCTGGGCTTGAGCTGGATGAAGGGATGGGCACCCCAACAGACTGCCAGGCGAGGCCATATTCTCAGGGGACCAAAGGATACAACTCAGTGCCCTCAGACTTCCTCCATGTCTTGCTTCTGAAGATGAGGTTTTAGCCATTGCATGTGCCCAGATGCTGCTCAAACACAAGGACAGCTCTGGTCACCTTTCAGATTCGCTTCTGCACTTGCTTTGGGACTCATACCAGCCTGGGAAGGAAACTGGAGCGCTCATGTCTGCTTAGCCAGAGAGACCATCCCACACATACATCACCCAGCTAGCAAGAGCCTCCCCCAGGAACCTCAACAATCCTGCCCCCTTCTAGAAACCTCCTCAGCTGTCAAATGAGCTAATAACACCTTCCTCCCTAGGTTGTTGGAAATATTTGATGGTACTGTGCACACAAACGACCCACTGTAGTGGCTGGCACACAGTAGGCACACAATAAATGGTACCAGCCATGGGAGAGAACCACCAAACCGAAGCCCAAGGGTTTTGACTCCAAACCGTTGGCCCCAAACATAAGCCCTGAGGGCCAAGGTCAGTGTCCAGGACAGAAGGTGACCCCTCTTCTCCTACTCTTCCCAGGCTGCCCGTGAAGCACTTACCACACTGGATGTGGCCAGGGGTGACCCTGGGGTTGTAGTGGGCCTATCTGGGGAGCATTGGGGAGCTCTGAGGAGGGAGCTGCGGCAGCTGTGGGGAGACCCAACCCAACCCAAGGGTAAGCAGGTATCGCAGCCCATTCAGAGGTCTTGCCCTGCTGCACCTCCAGCCTTTGTCTGTGCAGTAGGTGCCCTGAGCTTGGAATGCCCATCCAACTACCCTTCCCCGCACCCCCGTCCGCTAGCTAAATCCCTGCTGTCCACCAAGGCCAGGCTCAAATGCTACCTCCAGGTGACACCTGTTCCAGGTGATGCCTTCCCCAACAGAGGTCATCGTTCTTCTCTGGGATTTCAGATAGTAGCAGTCATTCATTCACTGAAACCTTCAGTCCTTCAACACACATTGATGGAGCATCTGGTTGGGTTCTGGGGATATGGGGCTTGAACAATAACCACAAGATATAAATTTCTTCCTCAACAAGCTCCGTCTAGGGAAGGATACAGACACAGCAGACAAGCACTCCACAGCATGCTGAGGATGGATGTCTGATAAAGGAGTTATGAGTTGAACCAGGAGGCTACTGTCCAACTAGGACGAAGGAGGACTGCCACTGTGGGCCAGGCTCCACCACAGATTCTCCTGGGGTCTGTCTGGACCGCTGTACTCCATCTCCATCACAGCGAGCTCAGAGGACTGGATGTGCTGCACATAAAGATCTGGATCACACAACTCAGACCCCATTTGCCAATACAGGGGGACCTCAGGACCCAGGACAGAGAGCATAACTTCCCAGTGTCGCCTACCTTCTCCACTGGGGCCGAAAGGGTTAGGGATTTAGTCCCAGGAGAGGTGGGGAGCTCTGCACAGGTGGAACAGGGTGCAGCCTAAAGGTCCCCTAGGGACTGCCTTTGAACGGGCTGCTTTGGAACTACCTGTTGTTAAACACAAACCCCCATGCCCATAGGAACCTCTGGTCTGGGGGCCAGGAATCTGTTTGTTTTTAACCCTTACACGAGGATATGTTTTTATTGATTTTTTTTTTTTTTTAAAGAGAGAGAGAGGGAAACATCAATGTTGATCTGTTGCCACCAGTACTTGCCCCAACTGAAGATGGGACCCACAACCTAGGCATGTGCCCTGACTAGGAATTGAACGCACAACCCTTTGGTATGCCAGACAGCGCTCCAACCCACTGAGCAACTAGGCCAGGGCCGGAAATCCGTATTTGTAAACAAGCTCTGTGGGCGATGCAGACAGCTGTTAGGCATGGGGCCATTGGGAGGCTATATGCATCACAAAAGGTTAGCAAAGCTTACTTGTACTCATGCTAGAGGCGTGGCTCATGAAATTCGTGCATGGGTATGGTCTCAGGCCTGGCCTGAAATCAGGGTCATCTTCCCCAGCTGCCTGCAGCTGGCCCTGTCTACCCCCCCTACCCACCCCCAGTTCCCTGTTCACCATCAGGTGATCAGAGCCTGATGGCAGGGAAAAGGACTGAGATGTGAGCCATTCCCACCCCCTTGCCAGCCCTGTACCCCTTGTGGGTTGCCCTG